TGTTATTTTAGTTATTGTTACAGGATGGTTCATTTAATCAAGTTAACTTTTAGTCGTTTTGCACTCATTTCAAAAGCTACCTTGCTTGGTAATTACAGTTCCTAATATAAGCGGATTATAGCTTTAAAAACCTCTCCAGGAAACGCATGCGGAGCAGGCTACTGTCAACACCCACAACCTCATCCTAAACGTCGGTGTCACTAAAGTCAGGTTGAAAAACTCAAACTTAAAACAAACCGGCGTATTTACTCACTAGTAGCAGGTTCAATATTTCCGGTGGTACTCAGGCCCCCACCACTGCCATGACTTCCGGTCGCGAGAGGATTTTTAGTACTGGGTGCCAGCGTTGCAGATGTTGAACCAGGACTTCCCACGCTACTGTAGAGAGTTTTCAAGACTGACCACGTCTGCGCATGCTCCTGCATCATAAGCTTAGCAGCAACCTAGAGGGTATTTCGGCTCAATATAAGAATCTGGGAAACTGCCCACCTACCTCTCCCTTAATGCAACGTTTTGTCCTAGGTGAGACATCAGTGTTTACGTTAAGTTTGCGAGGGGTAGGTTGGTTGTTTCCCAGAATCTAATCTAATGATGATAATAATAATAATAATAATAATAATAATAATAATAATAATAATAATAATAATAATAATAATAATGATAATTAATAAAAAATAACTTTATTCATAGATTCAAAAAAATAGACTATTTACAGATTCAAGAATATGAATATCAAAATATATACCCTATGTACATTCTTTTTGTGTACAAAAGAGAATTGTCGTAAAATGACTATCTAAAAACTACTAATAACAATTATAAAAAGCATCAAAAAGTTAATAAAAAAATAAAACTATCTACAAATAATTCAAACTGATAATAATAATAATAATAATAATGATGATGATGACAATAATAATAATAATGATAGTCGGAAATTTTGGCTCTAAAAAATTGCGAAAAAAGGTTGCTAAAAAACAATTTAAGAAATGGTGAAAAACGTTCAAAAATAGAATAAGAATATTCTATAAATACCAGAAAAAAACAATTGCTGGTTTTCAGTGTCACGCCATTCAAAATGGATCAAAATAAAAATCAAAACCGTTCAATAGATTAAGTCCAGAATCTGGGAAATGAAAGGAGGTACATATACAAAGACCCTCTTCAAGATTCAGGGCAGAAGAATATTTCGTATACGAGATATCCGAAGAAATAGAGATTTGTATGGAAACGCCATGCTGGTGTTCACCTGGATGAGCTCCAACATGGCGGACGGAAACCAAAAGAAACATTTGTTACCAAGTTTTGCTACAAAAGCGTGAATTTATGCTTCGAGAAACTCATAAACATTAAAGTAATTCTTTTTCTAATACATGAACTGTTTAGATAGCAAAATTTCCTGAAATAAGTCATTTTTTTAACCTACACGACAGCTCTCTTGGCCATCATGTAAATGCCCCGTCACGCAAACGCTTAGAAATTCAAACATACTGTATCACAAAACCAAGAACCTTTTTGAAGCGGAAACTTGTAAGAAAATTAGTTTTCAGCTGCTCTAATACATCGTGAAAGTAAAATCTCGGTAGGATCGATAGTTTTTTTGGTTGAATTTTAGTGACCTCATGTGAAAACCAACAATACGTCATTAAAAAGAACAGTACCATATAAAAATATGTTACAAGTTAAAAAAAGAGTTTCGCACTAATGGCGTCACTCTGAGTATTAAGACTGGGCCAAAGAATGGTAATAATAATGATAACAAAACCTAGTAAAAAAGTTTCAAGACCTGTAAGGCCGTTGAGGTTTTAGGAAGAAAGCAAAGAGAAAAAAAACTGTCTCTTACATGGCAGTTGTACTCGCACAGATCAGAGTATGACCGTCCACTCAGCTGATAGCTCTGAGCAAGGAGGCCAAACCAATCCTTCTTCTGCAAAAGGAAAAGGACGACAAACCCGTGTATTAAAATATCTTTGTCTGACTATAATCAGCGATTCGCCACTTTGGAAACAAGGAGACTGGGCCAAGTTTACTTTCGCAAAGACTTCTGGGGCTGTTACTAGGGACAACGAAAAAAAATTGACCAATAGCTAACCGACTCTTCTCCAGTAACGATCCCAGAAAAAAAAGGGTACTTAACAATTCGCCACTTTAGAAACCAGAAGGAAACTGGACCGAGTTTACTTTCGTAAAGACTTCTGGGGCTGTTACCAGGGACAACGGAAAAAATTGTCCAATAGCTGACCAGCGCGTTCCAAGCAACGATCCCAGCAAGCCTTGCAAAAGTCAACTCGGTCCAGTTTCTTTCTCGTTTCTAAAGGGGCAAATGTGTAAAAAATATGATTCTGACTGTTTCGAAACACGAGAAGGTGTTTTTAAGAGAGGCACGTCAACCGGAAGTGAAGAATTTTCCCTTTTAATATGCCTTGACGCTATAAAATTGGTATTGCCTAGCTTCTTTACACCAGTAGAGACGATTTAGTTGAAAAATTTGGCAAAACCGGCCGCTACTAAGGAATGTAAAACGTCCGCTTCTGGTTGGGGTGCGTCGCTCAAAAACGCCTTTTCTTAAGGTGGTCCGAACCTATTTATATGCGCGTTGGTTATGTTTTTGAATCGCGTTTTTCGGCAGGAACGATTTAACCGATTTCCATGATTTTTGGCATCCTTAATAAAGACTGGTCGACCTTTAGGAAAATGCTATTTACTTTCTTATAGGTATAAAAACGTTTGAGATTTCGGCATATGTTTAAAACCGCATTTTTACAAAAAAGGTAAATCATTTCAAAACCCCAAGACAGGTTTTTCTCTTACTTCGGCAAATAAGCCTCAGAGCTCCATTCTTTATTAAGGATGCCAAAAATCATGGAAATCGGTTAAATCATTCCTGCCGAAAAACGCGATTCAAAAACATAACCAACGCGCATATAAATAGGTTCGCGCCACCTTAAATTCCTTAATAACACTACCGAAGTGTAGTGTTAGGATGATCTTCCGCAAAGAGTTCGAGCAATACCGGACAATTTTTTGAAATTCAGTTGACGCAAATAGCCAAACATAGCCCCTTTAAGTTCTCCAATACCTTATCTGAGAAATCATGGTCGCCTTCTTTATAGCTACATTGCAAACATGTCCGTCTACTACCAATAACTCTAGGTATAAACGATTTAACTTTGGGTCCTAAGTAATTACTCACTGTAATCTCCTTATTTTGATGAACAACAACCCTGCTTTTCACTTCAGTTATGTTATCGGCAATGTCTTGAATATTGCGCTGTGATGTCAGACTACTGTTGTGTAAGAAAACAGTAGTATTACCACCACGCCTGGAAAAAGAAACCAAAATTCGTCAGACTGCAAATCTTATAGAAATGATTTGCTTATATTGGAAGCTAATTTACGGGCACTCCACTGAAAAAATCACAAACATCATCAAACATACTGTATTTACTCAAATAATAGCGGTCCCTCTATTAATGGCTTCCCTCGAATAATCGCCCTCCCACCCAAACGGAAATATTTAAAATAACCGCCGTCCCTCGAATAATCGCCCCCTTTGTGTGCGAAAAAAAAATAATCGCTCCTGGCTATTACTCAAGGAAATACGGTAACGTGACTGCCAGAAGGCAAACTACAATAGTTGGTTATTTAAGGCAAGCCGGGCTTCCACCATGCTGAAACGAGAAAAATTTGCAAGAGCTAAGCAAAGTACTTGAACGCTAAGGTTGTTACTTTCACTTTTGAAAGACTAAGATAATACCCATACGCTGTTACGTCAAAAAACGTTTTGAAAGTTTAGTACAAAAATTCTAGTAACTGAAACTGAAAATTGTGTTACTGTGGGCGCTATTTACCAGCATAATTTTACTCGGGCGTGAAGCGTTTTTAACGAAAAGATGCTCAATATTTTGAAGAAAATGAGAAGATAGTTAGGTTAACTAAGTATTTTATACATTTTTGCTCCGTCTCCAATGCAATTACTGCTGAATGAAATCCCAGCCAAACAGAACAAGAAGACGCCTTTTGACCGCGGTGGATGCCGGACTATGGACTAGGGACAAAGTATTGGTCATTTTTTAGTTGGGTTTGGGACTGGGTCGGAGTTGTGTCGGGTTGCACCACGGGACTTTTTCTGGGAAACGAATTTTGACCCAGTTTCCTTTGCAACTTTGTAACAACCAATAAGAGCAGCGATAGCGTAACTGAAACAATCCCACAGTGCAATTCGACACCGACTGACTCTCATGGTTGACCTTAAAATGGCCCGTTTAGGTCAAAGTCCATTGTTTCACCTCCCTGTATTCAATATTTTGGTAAAAGGTCTGGGACCATTTTGGTTTTTTGGGGGGCCCTTCTGCGTATCTTCTTCTGGCCCCTTCCGGGCCCTAGGCCCGTTTTTGTAACTTTTCGAGCAAAAAAAAACAAACTGGTGGGTGGCGATCGCTCTCACCACTGCGCCATCTCTTGCTCCCAAAAGACCGTGTATCTATTAACGGTGTATTTCTGTATCTAGGGTACTCACGGTCTTGTGTGTATTATGCTTTGTGCCGGAAATCGTTTTGGTAACGAGTCACAACACGCAACACTGATGTCTCCATTGACGTTCATTGACAGTCCAACCCTTGGGGCGTGGTCTGCTGGATGCTGGGCGTCACTGAATACATGTTGATAAAGCATGGAGTCTTTTGCGCATGACAAGAACACAAATGGGTCTTTACTACGGAGGTACTGTCGCCAAAGAATACCTAACAAAAGACATTTCAGTTACTTTTGTTAAGTAAATGCAGGCAAATATTTTCTAAAATAAGAATTTTACAATAAATTTATTGCGCGCGCTGATTGGTGATTGACCTGCACTCACCCAAACCTCTTAGTGTTTCATTGGTCGCTATAGGCGAATCTTTGTTTACACTTTTTGGTTCATTAACACATGCTTATCACTGTCTGGTGACGCTAATAAAGTAAAAACTCTGAATATTCAAAGGGCATAATAGTTTCAGTTGTCTCTGAAAATTTGAGCCCAATACACCGAATGGTTTCGGAGAAACTCGCTCCTAAAAATCTAAATTTTACAGACAATGTACGGATCATTAACTTTTTTGCCACACAGCAATTTCGCAGTTTTTGATGGCTGATATTTCCTTCAATATTGCTTACAAAGAGCTGAAAATTGCACAAATTGCTCAACTTAATCAGCTCGTTCAATTTTTGCATTTAGTTGATATATACGGCCACGGCTTCTATGAGTTAAGTCGTATGCTAATGAGGAAAAATGTAAACAATGACGTCAGCCAAGATTCTCCTATAACCTGCACTACCTATCGTTTTCAGGGAAAGGGGTATTGTTTTGTCACCATCCCTATTGTTTTCCCAGCCAATCACAAACCTTGTTTGGAATAGGTGCATTGATTTTCTCTTTGACGCCGCGATTTTCCGAGGAACTTCAACGGAGATGGAGCTTCAACACTGTCGATTTTATTGTAAAAAACAAATCGATAACAATTTTGTATTGAAAGAGATGAAAATGAGAAATTGTTCTATCAGATACGAAGCTCTGTATAAAGTTAGCAATACTGTTATCGACCATAGAAACGAAAACTAGGCTTGTCGTCTTACAAAATCTTAACTTCCCCGGCGCACGCCAGCATTATACATGACGACAAGCCTGATTTTCACAGGTAAAACAAGTACCAGCGTGGGCATTAGAGTCTTTCTTACTTTACGATAAAATGTCTTACTCCCAAGCATACGCACAAGAAACAAAAATTTTCCTTCCGTATTTTCTCTAGTTTGCGTCAGCGTTCGTTTTTATATGACACAAGATTCTTGTACTTGTGCTTGTGTGGTTAGTAAAAAACCAAACATTTCTGAGTTACTCTGTGCTACTATTTAAAGGAGCAGGGTCACGAAATGTATCAAAATTCAAACAGTGAGAATAGCCTGTTCCAGGCTCTCAGATAGTGGAGAAGGCGAGAAAGAGTGGGGAAGACGCCAAAGTGTAGGGTGCGCGAAAATGGGGGCGGGGCGGGAAAAAGTGAAAAGGAAGCCGCCCCCCTCTCCCCAGTTTCCTCCCGTTTTTTTTTCTCGTCTTCGCGCTTTCTCAATTCTGCGGGCCCGACTATCTCGGAGCCTGGAACAGGCTAACAGTGAGAACTGCAAACAAACTGAGCGGAACATGAAATTAACTGCTCAAAACATGGAAAGAATGTATAATAAACACAGCAAATATAAAAGGAGGCACGGTTGAACAAATTTGAAGATTGAAACGAATTGCAATAGGGGTTTTAAAAAACTTGTTAGCCTGACAGTTTTTGAAAGTTCATTTTAGTTTTTTTTTGTAACGTTTGGCGTAATGCTTGGTGGGAGACATACAGTTTTGTCATTTACAAATAATTTCACGTTCAACTGTGAAAGGTGTGAACCCAGGAGTCATTTCATAAGTAGGTTGAGTAATCGTCCGGGTGAACATAGTCATGAATAGGACTGTTGTTGACAGTGACTGACGTTTCGACAACCGGTGCGGTAGTCATCTTCAGAGTCAAAGTGAGTTGTATCTCGTCAGTTGATGGTATTAAACTCTGGTTATTGATATGATTGGTCAATTAAGTCGCAATGTTATTGGTCGTCTGCCAGTTAAGCCGTGATGTTATTGGCTATGAAGACTCGTAATGTCATTGGTGCGTTTCGATCGGTCTATTGTCACAGTTAAACATTCATTTAAGGTGGCTCGACCCAGTAGTTTTGTAGGTACACCTTCCATCTTTGAATCCTTTGTATTCTACTGTGAAAGCATTGTAGCACATGTATTACACATACACTAAACTTTATTATGATATTATTTTTTGGGCGATCGGAATAAAGATCACGTGAAAATGACGTCACAATAGTTTTAGCTCTGGATCGACTTGCAGCCCTCATCGGCATATTGACGCAAAGCTGAGCTCTTTTTGTAATTTCAAAGGCTACTTTCACGAAGACAGCGATTAAACCAAAATTCTTCAATCGATTTTCTTTCAAAAATCTAAGTGCTGCAATTGATCAGTGTACTATAAAATCCCAGAATTTCGTGTCCATTGAACACTTTTTAAGTTGTCTAACGTAAGCGCAAATTTGTGTAAATATTCCAAAGTCCTCCAATAGATTTTTTGTGAAACTTCGCACAACAGAAAGACAAGCACCCAGAGTACAGGCAGCGTCAGGCATTTCTAAATAAAATGCTGATAAGTGCTGCGATTCGATTTAGAGCTACAACAACTGTGACGTCATTGTCACGTGATATTTAGTTTAGTCTATGTGTGATACACGTGTTATAATGGTTTTACAATAAAGAAAGATACATCTGTTCAAGTCTAACAGATTCAAAGATGGAAGGAAATTATTTAACGCAAAGAGGCAAAGAGGCATCTTTTTTGTGCATTACCTGTAACGACATCTTTATGTTCGCTAAAAGACGCATAAGGTATGTAAGGTCTTCTGATGTCCCAGACATGGATATCAAAATCAACAAGAAGAGAGCAACTGAAAGGAAACAGGAGTGACCAACATTAATTTTCTCCCAAACAACATCAATACACCATCAATAGAAATAGTTAGGAGAATTAACAGAATGACCGCCATGGAAAAAATGCTTTGTTCTTTTATTAAATTCTCTCAACCTTCTCTTTACGAAAATAAATGGAGAACAGTCTGGTGAAGTTTGATGTGGATATTGGGGCTGAAAGGATCCCATGCATGAGGATCATCATACTTTTCTGGTAAACTGCCCACTTAACCCTCCCCTAGGCCAACAACGTCAATCCTTTGTTTTATATTCCCAAATGGTGACTGAATAAATTAAAGCAATGTTTCTATTGGTCAGTAAGTTCAAAATGATAGGAATGCTATTGAACGTCGTGCACGGTCAGGTCCAAAAAAGCTAACAAAAACCTATAACAAAGGGTTTTCCAACCATTCCACTTTAATTAACTGTGGCGTAACTCACTAACACACTGTGTGGGGCAGTCAGTTAGTAGTATGGTAGAGATGTTTTACTCCCTTTTAAGCGGGGGAATCTCGTTATTTTGCGGGGGAATAAATTAACGCCGATAAAACTAGAACACGACAAACAGGTTAAACCGGTCAAGGTTAGGTGAGTCTATTGTTTCTATTGTATTAGAAATACGCAAAAAGGGTAGATAATGAGATTCCACCGCATTTTATCCAGGAAGATAAAGGCAAAAGGCAATGATGTCATTAGTGTTAATGAATTCCCCCGCTAGATAACGAGATTCCGTCGCCAAAAAACGGAGTAAAACATCCCCCTTGTACCACTACTGTGCTGTCTATGGTCTAGAGTGGTTGATCTGTAGGGGCGAGTGTTATCAAAGGGACAACGTCTTGATATTCTGTCCAACCGGTGATGGTGCCAGTAAACAGTAGGAAATGAAGTCATAGCCCTACCTTGCAATCTGGAATTTTCTTTGTGGCCTCCACTTGATACGAGCCACTGCAGATATCGTTTGAATAGTATTGAGAAGACTAGGCTTAGCGTAAATATCCCAAACCTGCAGTATAACGAAAAAATTAGGTTATCAATAATGATTATTGATTCAGTAAAGGCAACAACGGCCGTAGGCAAGGTTGGTGCTTGGGATTGGATAGATTGTGTCGGAACAAGAGTTTACTGTGCAAGCCTTGGACTTAGACTACTCCTAGTTCCTCACTTTCCTCAGGGATAGTTCAGCCGCCGAAATACCCGGGGGTACTCCCTATAATGGCCTATACGGGGAGACTCCGCCCGAAAGGGGTAACTTTTTTAGGCTTTAGGTATATGGATTTCACTAGTTTGAAGTAAATGAAAGGGTAGGAAAATCTGCGAAAGGACCTAAAAGACCAATTTCGTGGCTGTGGAAAAGAGCACAGTCTTAATGCATTTACAGCAGTTAAAAAGTATGCAGTAATCTAAACTACAATGAGGGACAAAAGTGTTCAGACACTTCCATAAAGTGGCCCCTTTTTACATAGTTGACTTACCTATCCCCTTCCCTTGTCTACCCCAACCCTCTCCCCCCAAAATCAATGTTGTTTTATGGACCCTCAAGTCTTTCTCTTACTTTAGACAACATTGATTCAGGCGGAGAGGGTATTTACGGCGTTTAAAAGGGTATGGGGTTGGAGCTCGGGCGGTGTCTATCTGTGTAGAACTTTTTGAGTGCCCCCCCTGGGATTTGAAGGAAGTCTGAAATCCCAAATTTGCAAAAAATTTCTTCACAGGCATGAACTGCAAAGAATCGGTAACCAACCAAATTTACCTCTAGTGAAATTTTCATTCCCTAAAGCATTAAAAACAACAACAACAACAACAACAACAACAAACAAACAAAAACATTGCCATGCTACCTTAATAAGTTTGTCTCTTCCTGCAGAAGCTACCCAATTCTTCTCTTCTGGGTGCCAATCAATAGCAAATGCAGGCCCATTGTGTCCAACTTGTTGGATGAAAGGAGAGCTGGTCTGACGGTTATCCCATAACTACAATAAAAAGGATGGAAAAAATGCATCACAAGTCAGTCGCAACCTCGTCCCCAGGGGCTTCTCACTTTTCAACATGACGTCAGAAGAAAAATTAGTCACTTGGTTCGGCTGTGTGACGGGGTCTTCACTCCTGCCGCCGTTATAATTATTAGCGAGCTTTCGCATCAACGACGGTGACGGCAGCAAAAACGTTACTCTTAAAATGAAATCGCGTTTTTTAAACTTTGTCGTGTTTATTCGAATTCGGCGAATTTCCCTGGAATTGAGTTCCTGGGGACCTCACTCAAGTTTAGGTGAGAAAGAAAAATTTGTCGTCGCTTGTTTACGTCCTCCATAGAACATGAAATTAGGCATTTTCACATCCAGGTCGAGCAGTGATGGCAAAGAAATGTACAAAAAAGAGAGTGATACACATGAAAACTTGTTGTTTTGCCAATCTAAACCTATTGCTTTCTGAGGTTCTTGTTGCCATCGCCGTCTTCCTTGCTATAGCTCCCAATTTGAAAACCAGAAGACCATAGGAACAAGGCTGAATCAGTCATGCGCCATTTCATCCCTTCGAATTATTCTTGCAAATTTTTGCAATCCACATCTCTTTAGCCTACATAGCAGGCGCTTAAAGTAATGGGCGCACGAAAGAACGGGGCGCGCGAGGAGGACACGCAAGGGGAAAGATTTTCGTGGGCCTCTCGGGAATGCGCTCCCTCTCNCATTCCCTAAAGCATTAAAAACAACAACAACAACAACAACAACAACAAACAAACAAAAACATTGCCATGCTACCTTAATAAGTTTGTCTCTTCCTGCAGAAGCTACCCAATTCTTCTCTTCTGGATGCCAATCAATAGCAAATGCAGGTCCATTGTGTCCAACTTGTTGGATGAAAGGAGAGCTGGTCTGACGGTTATCCCATAACTACAATAAAAAGGATGGAAAAATGCATCACAAGTCAGTCGCAACCTCGTCCCCAGGGGCTTCTCACTTTTCAACATGACGTCAGAAGAAAAATTAGTCACTTGGTTCGGCTGTGTGACGGGGTCTTCACTCCTGCCGCCGTTATAATTATTAGCGAGCTTTCGCATCAACGACGGTGACGGCAGCAAAAACGTTACTCTTAAAATGAAATCGCGTTTTTTAAACTTTGTCGTGTTTATTCGAATTCGGCGAATTTCCCTGGAATTGAGTTCCTGGGGACCTCACTCAAGTTTAGGTGAGAAAGAAAAATTTGTCGTCGCTTGTTTACGTCCTCCATAGAACATGAAATTAGGCATTTTCACATCCAGGTCGAGCAGTGATGGCAAAGAAATGTACAAAAAAGAGAGTGATACACATGAAAACTTGTTGTTTTGCCAATCTAAACCTATTGCTTTCTGAGGTTCTTGTTGCCATCGCCGTCTTCCTTGCTATAGCTCCCAATTTGAAAACCAGAAGACCATAGGAACAAGGCTGAATCAGTCATGCGCCATTTCATCCCTTCGAATTATTCTTGCAAATTTTTGCAATCCACATCTCTTTAGCCTACATAGCAGGCGCTTAAAGTAATGGGCGCACGAAAGAACGGGGCGCGCGAGGAGGACACGCAAGGGGAAAGATTTTCGTGGGCCTCTCGGGAATGCGCTCCCTCTCCCCTGGCGTGTTCTTTCTTGTATATTACTTGCAAGCGCCTGCTTCGTAGGCTAACATCTCTTCCTAAACCAAGGCAACACAAAAAAACGCGAAGAAAATCTCGAAAAAAACTGTTCTCTTCATATTGGCGCTTTTCAAACCCCTTAATAATTCTTTTTTTTCATGTTACCTTGTTCCCACGAATAGCATTGCTCCACCATTTGATGTATAAACCATACACAACACACAGTTCCTTGATTTGCTCTGGCAAGGGCTAACGCTACCATGAGAAAACAGCCGACATTTTACGACGCCACCACTGACTTCCCGCGAAACGATGTCTGAGAAACGAGCGAAGAAATTCCATACTGATGACGCGTCACTACCCAGATCTGGGTAGCGCTTCTGATTGGCTGAAATTTGCGTCAACCAATCAGAAACACAAACAATACCCAGATCTGGGTAGTGACACGTCATCATTATGGAATTTCTGCACGCGTTTCTCAGACGTCATTTTGCGGGGAAGCCAGTGGCGGCGTCGCAAAATATCGGCTGTTTTCTCAGCCTATGCTAGCACTTCAATCTCTTTACGGTGGTAAAATTGACTTAATTAATTTAAATGATAAATTACTTAACTTATTTTAAAGGAAGATACAATAGCCTTACAATTCACACGTGTATCCCCTCCAAAAAAATTTCAAGAAGAGGTTCACTTTTCAAACAAACTGTGTGCAGTGTGAAGTCACATAGATTTCCTTCGAATATTTACATTTAGGGATTTTGGCAAGAGAGTCAAAAGTTGAAAATAGACAACGACTGACTCTAGGTGTGTTCAACCCTTTACTAACCCTTACAATGTATTAGCCCCTTTACATACAAATCGTTACCTGAATATTTCCGTTTTCACATGCTGTGGCAAATGTTTGTCCATCAAACGGATTAAACTGAAAGTTAAAAGTTAAGTGACAATGAAATAAAGCCATGTGGTCTGTACTTTAATTTACCAAATGTTTTAATCTAGGCTGCTAGCTACCTCCTCGCCTCATTTGATAAAACTTTGGAAATTTTCAAAGTCATAAAAGTCGAAGCTAGCCCCACGAACATATGGAAATTTGCTGTCCATTTTTTTTTTTCAATACCATTGACAGTTTTTGGCTTCCAGTTTCTAGGGAAAATCACACTGGAGAGATAAATACAAACAACTTGCGCAATCATCACATCCATTCCATGGTCTACACATGAACTCTCATACCATAACTCTCGACCAATCACCACACAAGAAATTGCTCAGTTATTGTAAAAACTCAGCAGTGAATTGGTAACCTGTGTGAAGGCCCAACCCGCTAGACAGTCCCGTTGAAAGACAGAAAGTCAGCCTTTCACTCTTAAAATGAAGTTAATGAACTTTAACGCAGTTAACAACAAAGAGCACGGACTCGTATCGTCGGTCAGCAGTCAATGTGGTGGTGCAAGCGCAGTCAGCCTTGCTTGCATCAGCTCCACGTACTATGTACAACGCTTTCATGGCGGTCACTCGCTTTGTCTAGCCTTTGCATTGTGAGAGTCCCCAATAGGGTTCTTCAATCCCGTAATTCTGACCCAACTGAATTTTATTGTAATTGTACCTGAACATCGCGTATGATATCTGATTTTCCATGAAATGTTGAGGCAACATTCTGTTTTCGTAAATCCTGGAACAATATGCGAAGAATAAATAGATAGCTGTAATGGTGTTTACAAATTGTGGTTTGAACAAGTCAGCTTGCTAATAATGGTTCTCATAGTCTCGACTCAGGTCTCAACTCAAGTCTTGTACTGTACACATTTTTTAATTGAAAAAAAAATGTAAAACTCAGTGTTGTCAAGTCTCCCGGATAATCGGGGAGACTCCAGAGTTTGGACCGTATCTCCCGGGTCTCCAGATTAGAGTATGAAATCCCCCGTATAATCACTGAAGTAAACTTTTAAATATTTTGCATTGTTTGAGCTACATTGTGTATTTCACTGTTAACATCAAACGTTTCCTCATAAACTCCGGTATGGTATATTATGCCATTGCAATATACCCAGTAATATGATTGGTGGGAAGTAAACCAGTCAGGTAGAACATCGCAAATTCATGACAATTGGAGTCAACAAGTATTTTGCTCCATCACCCCTTCCCTATCGATTCTCAATATTTGAAGACCTGGTAGGTTGACAGCCCTGAAAACTGACGCCTCAAAAAGTGGTCTTGTTGGTGTTTTCGATAGATTGTCACTAACGTGTCGCTTACAAGAGGTGGTTGGACATCAAGAAACATAGCTTAGCATTCATGTGATGAAAAAGAATTAATTGATGGCTTACCTTTGAAGTGAATAAAAGCAATGAAACATTTACAGATTATATCACTCATAAAAGCTTGATTAAGTTAAACCAATAACATGATTTTAGGGCCGGGTTGTTCAAAGCTGAGTTAAGATAACCCTGGATTGTCTAAAATGTGAATTAAGATATGAAAGCTTAGAAGGCAAATTCAGTTAATTCTCCTTGCCTACAATTTTTTGGAGAGGGTGCTCTAAATAGAATAGAGAAAATCATCGGAGAAAATACTTTGGAACAAAAGAAAAGAAACTCAGATTAATATTTGACCCCGGGATAGTGCTAATTGGCCTTAGAACAACTTGGCCCAGAAGATTAATAAGGGTCAGAATGAGCACATTATTTTCATAATCAATTTAAAACATTTTGTCTTACAAAAAATTTTACTGTTCCATCTTGAGATCCACTCAATAGTATATCCTTCTCAACTGGGTGAAATTGAATCCTGTTGACTGTTCTCTTGTGATCTGTGAATACCAACTCTGACAAAGGCAAGACAATAAAAAATTCTCATCATGTCTGTTACAGCTGAGACTTTAAAAGTATTCATAATTATGTTCAGCTAAGGAGTAGAAATGTCTCCTCAACTCTGTGCACATGGACAAGTTAACAGAACTCTCACAAGATTAATTTGACAGGGGATTAGCGGGGCTTGAAATAACAGCCACTCAACGGACAATGGCTAGTCAAAAGAAAGCTTTATGTTGGGTCAAATCCTTGGAAAACTGAACACCTCGTAATTGTCTGGCTAAAACGGGTTGTGTCCAAGCAAAAATTGGTTTGACCAGACAACTTGAATGACGCCAGCTGCAAAATTCTTTCAAGCCCTGGTTTAGGTAATGATTTCAAACTGTAAGACAATAACTACACTTGCTACTGATTACACATAGAAAATAAAGTATAAAATGTCTCTTGCTGGTTTACATTCCTTAGCAAGGGTAGAACATGGTAATTTTCCAGACTAATACAAAGGAAATGAACATAGACCAAATAATAGCAAAAAAAAAAAAGAAAAAAAGAAAAATGAGAGAGAGACCAAGGTAGTCTTGGAGATGCACAGAAAAAAAGAACTACAGGTCGGGGGAGTTCTTTGGTGGGAAAAAGGCTATCTGAGGAATATCACTTTTTATTTTATTCAAGCTGCCCAGGAACAGATAATAATGCTGATGATGCTGATGATGGTGATGATGATAATGATGATGATGATGATGATGATGATGATGGTGGTGGTTGTGGTGACAATAGGGACTTTAAGATACGGCGACTACGGTTAAACATGCTACTGCACATGATCAAAACCACGTGACTATTCATTTTTGCTGCGTAGTCCTGCGGTTACTGAGTTGTTGAGCTGTTTCGCGTAGTCGGGACTACTGAGAACATTTTGCTCGTATTTTGCCATCTCGGTAATTCAAGAATCTCGTCTTTTCGTAACAAAGTTTTCAATTCACCTGCTTTAAGTGAGAGGGAAGCGAAATATGTAAGTTGTGTCTAATTTCTGCCCAGATTTACGCTTTTAATCCACTGTTGTGACTACATTTTTAGCTAAGCTCATATTTAAATAAGCTTAGCTGTTTACACGCAGAATTCAGATAGACGACCGAGGAGAGGAGAAATCATGCAGGTAATTTACTTTCTCTTCGCACTTGAAAAGTTTCAATGTTTGTTCGAACTGATTGATGTGTCTTTCTACCTGTGTAACCTTTGTTTATGCGAGTTTTTGTATCGCATTTACTGAATGAAAAATGATGTAAACATCTTGGAGACAATCGAAACTCGGCATTTCAATACTTCAAACTACATCAGATCAGTAGTCGGAGAAGTCCATCTTCTAAATCTAATAAATGAGCTATTACTATTTCTATCTATTTCTTCAATATTTGACATAAATATTCTTGGGCGAAAAAAATAAAACCTGTGTAACCAAAACTTGTTCACCAATTTCACCCAACGTAATTGCTTCCTTCAAGCATGGAAGAATTTGTTCATTGTTCTAAAGATAAGATCACATACAAAACTGACTTGCATTTTTGTGAACTGTGATGAAAACAAGAAAATCTTTGTGTGTTGCATGTTTTAATACAAGCCCTCCGCCTCTTCTCTCGTAGTCTACTGTCTGTAGTGCAATCTTAATGTTCTATATTTGCACGACTCAACCCAGTGCTACAAACAAAGGAGAACGCTCGTCCAGTCGTAGTTCGTAGTCAGTACTCTCCGTATCTTAAACTCCCTATTTATGATGGTGATGACAATGATGATGATGATAATGAGGAGGAAGTTGCAAACTAGACCACAGATCTGGAAGAGCCCCCTTTTGCCATTGGAAGTTTCCAATAAACTTAGCACACCTATAAAAAGGAAATAAAACCAGACATTTAAGGAACACCCAGGAACTTTACCTTGCTTCTGTTTTGTGATTTTGTTTAAATTCCAAAGAACAATAGCGCCATTTCCAGCTGCAGTAGCCAAGAGATGATCTGCCAAAATAATTAAATCATTTAAATGTGACATAGAAATTTCTAGTTAGTTATGATTGTGAGCCATACCAAAGCAACTGAAGTTATAAACAAAATCTTAAGCACTGGAGCACATGTACAGAATCTGCGGTATGGCCGGTTCCTTATGCATGCGCACAACCATATCACCTCAGTAGTGGCAGCCATGGACAGCTGTTTTGTCCTCATTAGGACTCATCAACATGGCATAGCCCCAGGCGAGAGGTCTCACTTGTGATCATCAACCTCACTTGTTACTACCGTGACAAGTGCAAACCCGTAGACAAGTGGTAGCTGTAACGGGTCTTTGGCACAGGGGTTTGCCTGTTCACAGACCCGATGGCAATGCTATATTATTACATTATTCTTCCTATAGATGGTTTTCGCAATGATGTCATCAAAATTTGAAGTCAAAATAGCGAGGTTTTATGAATTCTTATTTACACCAGGTTGAAGATAAACAGAGAGTAAATCTTTGTACAAGATTCCATTCTCGTAGCATGTTTCATTTTGAAAGTACAGCAATTTGAACTTCCGAGTTTTCACAGTGCGTGACACCAAAATAGGAATGCTGTCTCTCCTCTTGATTTTCAGCAGTATAACCATTTCAAGAATTAGAAGATATGTTTATGCGCACGCACGCTAGTTCTAGAATGAAAAGAAAAAGCTTTTATAAAAAAAGTGAACTCCAGGTGTTTTTGTTGATTTCCGGCTGCCATATTGGTGCACCAAAACAGTACACCAATATGGTGTCTCCATACAAAGCTCTACAAAGGTATGTGAAATGTTTCACCTAATAACTCAGAAACTGTGGGCCACAAAGACCTGAGACTTGGAAAAATTGTTTATGAACAAGTCTTTTATAACAATTGATTTTCTTGGCTCCTTCCACTAGAAGGTTTCCAATTTATTTTTTGGTTGTGTGACAGTGAAAACGATCTATATTATTAACACAAATATGTTACCGAATACATGTATGTAACACCCTTAGCCCTTACACTGTATGTCCCAAGAGTGACTAACATCGATTATTTTAAAATATCCATACATAATCAAGTAAAATAAAAAGTTACAAGAATTAATTTAAGAACTCATTAATAATTCACAGAGAAAAAACAAAAGAAATTAATGTTTAATGAGTGTCTTTATAACAGCTAAACTTTACGTTGTTCAAAAAACTTGCAGGTGTGTATAATCAGGTTAAAAAGTTGCTCAAGGTATAATATACTCCTGGGCCCAGTAGTTCGAAGGCCGATTAGCGCTTAATCCGGGGTTAAATTTAACCCGGGTTACTTTTTTTTGTGTTCTAAAGCATTTTCTCAGACAATTTCTGTGCTATTTTTAGAGATTCCAATCATCAACTTGTACAGAAAAAGAATTAAAACTGAAATGCTCTTTAGGCTTTCAAATCTGAATTCAAATCTCGCACTAACCCTGGGTTATCTTAACCCAGCTTTGAACAACTCGGCCCTGCTCGTTTTTTAAACAGTACTAAAATGATCACCAAATAAAAGGGAAAATGTTTTGATCTTTGAACAAATTAATATTTCTCTCAAATGTTTTTCCAAGGAATATGGAGATCAGTCTGGAGAATTTGTATGTGAATATTGGGATTGAAAGCGTTAACAAGAAGACTATACAGGGAGGAAATAAGAAGATAAGCAGTATGTTACTGGGAGAAGAGGGGATTAACTAGGAGAATGGGGGCTGGCAGCTGGGAGTATAGAAAGAAAGGGAATTAGGACAAGCAAGAAAGGAAGCTGGGAGAAAAGGATATTTAACAACTGCATCGCTTAGTGGAGGTGGGTGCCAGGGATGTCAAGGGGCTTCCACTTTCGGCACAGCCAGCCCCTAGAAAGAGTTACGCCCCCATGGCTGGCAAACCCGCACCCTCCAGCCGTGAGCCCCCACGCCAATGGAGCCAGGCACCTGTCACACTGATTTATCAGTGGAAGAATAAAGGGGGGGCGGGATGGGAATAAAATAATGATCCAAAGGCTAAACAAAGGGAGTGGCTGCCAGGAAAAAGTTTTACTTAGCACATAAAGGTGATTCAAACAAGGCTGACTGTGCTTGAGCCAGATAACTGACCGCTGACCATGCCCTCGCTCCTCGTTGTTAACTGTGTTAAACAGATTTAACTTCATGTAAACTACGAAGAAATAGGATAAGGATCAGCTGCTAATGAGATCCTACTAAAACATTTATTACCTTCAAATGGATGCCACTGGACGTCTGTTATACTGAAGTTCAGGTTGATTCTTCCTACTCTCAGATTTGCTTTCTCTACAAATGCAGATTCTTCAATCCCAATCACCTTGAAAACTAAATACCAAAACAATGTTCACATAATAATCACATGTGCGCCTTTTAAAGTACAGTTAAAGTTAATATAAACACAGGCAACATGGCATGGTAGCCAGTCAGAGGAACTTACACAAAACTGAAATGTAAAAACAAAGTAGAAAAACAAATGTATGATGCCAAGGTAAACAGTAAACTCATGGTACTACTTGGTAAAGTTCTGTAAAAGAGGTTTTATTTGAATGGCAACACCATAAGATTTTATCCACCCATTTAAGAGTTAGGGAAACAAATAATCAAGCCATATCATGGTCTTTGAGTAAAAGGGGTAAATGGACCCACGGTACCAAATTATTTTTTAAAGGTCTAAGTTGTTTTAGCCAGGCAACAGATCAGAGTAGAACATCTCAAAATAAAATAGACAGTGATTCCTTGGTATGTTGATAGGTGAACATATAGACTTTGAATTGCAAACCTGTTTCTTGTTATGTTATCTTGCCCAAAAAAACTGGAGACAAATTTTAGCCATACCCTTATAGTCAGATTAACATTTCAGTTTTTCGTTAAATATTACTGACTTTTTGAAGAGTACAGTTAGAGCTCCATTAATATGGCAACTAAAAGGTCAAAAAGAATTTGTCATGGTGGAGTGGCCATTTTAGTGGGGTGGGGTAATTTTCATTTGGCTGTTTTCTTTTCTTGTTTTCTATTGTAAACTCCTATTATAGACTATTGCTGAATTTGTAAAGGGCATGGTTATTATAAATTGAAGGAAACTGTACTTGTCAAACGAATAAAATCCTGATTTCACAAATACTCTGTCAGGACTTAAGATTTATTTTTCTTTGTAACTTAATGTTGGTTCTTAAAAAAAAAAAAAGATTTACGAGGTTGTATTAATGAGCTGAATTATTAAGGGGTATACATGTTAAAGGGACAGGTTCATGGTTAAGCGCATGCTCATTTATCAAAATGCCGTTTTCCTGCCGGGACATGCTGTATCATCTATGCAAGCAATATGATCATGTCATATTGTTGTCAAAGAACCAATCTGCACACTCCCCTGGCAGTCACTTGCACTTGATCAACTTAAATATTTGCAAATAGCGGTAAATTAATCAACCATGGAATAAAACCTTCGGGTCAACAATAAATTCAACGTTGGTAGTGTTGGCATAATCCACTAATTTTTTCTGAGATTTTAGTACTCCTCCATCCTACTTCAGGTTACTATGAAATACAATTCTACTTTGAAATACACTCTGAGATCGCTGAGATACATGTGAGCGGGATAATTAAGTAATAGAATCAATAATAAATTGGAAAGAAGTAATTTAATTGATGCGCATGGGCTTAACAGTAAACCTGTCCCTTTAAGCTGTCACAATAATATTATATTGTTGTTGGTCACATTAATTTGCTGGCAGCGTTACTGGGTTTTCTTGTAAGAAAATCTATGGACATGTTACAGTGCGACGACTATAACCAGGGCCACCTGGACAAAGTTGACCAATCAGATTACGGGAAAATAACAATACATTCCAAGAGAGTTAGTCATCAGTCATAATTACCACGAAATGAAATAAACAATATGAATTGAAATCAACCAATTACAACCAACAGACGTGACCTTTTGAACCTGCTGAAGAAAGTCCATGTTTCCTGAGAGGTCTGTTAGAGTGAATGACTGAGGCGAAAAACGTATATGTTAGTTACATTTTTGACTTAAGGTTGCCTGTTCTTACAAAGCACAGCAATTGTAGCAACGAAATTGCTGGTAAATGACAAAATGACAGCTTGTTTCAAACAAGTATGTCTCCTGGACCATGTTATATCTTAAGTTTCGAATAGAAAACATTGTCTGGTGAAACATTTTGCTTTCTTGAAAAACATTTGCTATCTGATCAATATTCAATTTTTGTGCTTGCAGTAACTGATTGTTTTTTTTACAAGCTGCTGATTGGCCCACAGCCAACTTTCTTGGAATGTACTGTTGTTCTCCTGTAATTCGATTGGTCAACTTTGTCAAGATGGCCCCATTACTGACAGTAGTTGCACTGTAACTGGACGAATCAAAGTAGCCATGATAATAATATGGCCACATGGTGGGTATGTAGGGGGAAGTTGAGTGGGTGGGCTAATGGCTCCACTGTAGTTTACAAAAATTTAATGGTCCCTGGACATTGTCTCACCATTTCTTCCAGCAACCACGACTTGTGATCCATCTTTTGAGGTACTTAAAGAAGTCAAACCTCCATCAACATGATAACACGGCCCAAAACACATTGTAGAAAAGTTGTGAGAGCCTCCACCTAAACCTACAAGCAAAGCAAATTACCATGTGAAGTATGATCCTTGAAGTACATGTAAGATCACATAAGCAGTGACAGTATAAGAGTCCCACCACACAACAGCTAACTAGGACTCTTGGGTCTTGAGCGTTAACCCTTTAAGTCCCAATAGTGACCAACATCAATTTTCTCCTAACAATATCCATAGATTGTCAAGAGATAAGGTTATGAGAAATAATACAATGATCACCAACGAGAAAAATCTCTGATCTTTTATCAGTTTCTCACTACTAATGCTGTAAGGAAATGTATAGAGATCAGTTTGGAGAATTTGTTTGTGGATATTGGGGCTTAAAGGGTTAATAGCAGTTTATATTTCATTTTCCTTTGTTTCAAACTCATTATCATACATTACCATACCTGAAACAATAAGGAAAATATAATTAAAACCAAGGATAAAATTGAACCACAACACATCCATAACTCAATAGAAAATGCTAAGTTGTTTACCCTTAATTTTTGTTTGATAGCATAATAAAAAGAGAAAAATTAACTTTGCTTATACAGATAGTAGGGGTATGACATTTATGAGGGCTGTCGCTTATGCCAAACATTTTTAGCAAACGTTTGTTCAATCCAACAATGCTCTTCCATTCTGCACATACCGTATTTATTGGAATAAGCGCCCAACCTCGAATTAGCGCCCACCTCAAATAAGTGCCCATCCTAAAGGCAGAAAAAGTTAATAAGCGCCCAGCCTCGAATAAGCGCCCACCCCCTCCTCCTCCCAATCAAACTCAAATAAGTGCTCACCCCACCCCAACCACTTGAGTGAATAAATTCTAATAAGAGACTTCCCCGAGGACGGAGTTTTCTTCAGAGTATTTTACAGAAATCTTGCTTTGCTCCTTCTTCGCGTTTTGTTATTAGCATTAACTTCATTGTTTTGTTGCAAAATAAACATACTTCACTTGCTGAAAATAGTGACAATTTAATAAGGGCTCAGCCTCGAATAAGCGCCCACCTCAAATAAGCGCTCACTCTCAAGGTCTAAAAATTTAAGAAGCTCCCTGGGCGGTTAATCGAATAAATACGGTACTTCCCGACTTGCTAATTTTGCTTGTAAAGGAATCCCTGTACAAGGCGCTTTGTAGTAATATGCAGATCACCTCTCATCAACCCAGGTGTTTGACTCAGTTCAAGACTTTCTAGCGTTGCAGCTGAGGCCTTGACAGAAAGTGACCATTAATTCTTTCCACTGAAACGTAGACAAGTTGGTGCTTATTTCATGCACATCACCTGAATATTTTTAGTGGAATGCGAGTGATCGTTCAGTACATGTACATTGTGCCAACTGAAAACATACTCAAGAGAGACTATGTCCAGTGAGCGAGTGTCTGGACTTGCTTTGTTCTTTTCCCCTTGCCGTGTCTTTCCCTCTGCGCTTGCCTCTTAAAGCGCATGTCATGCAGGTTACTCCAATAAACATCAGTTGCAGTGGGCAAATTGATGTAGGAGCAGCTATTTCTTGCTTATATCATGCCAGCTGAGTAATCAGATCATCACAAGACCACAGTGTTTGATAAAGTATGTAACATATTCAGCAACACCAACTACTGACTGATACACTTTTAGCCATCTCATCAGGAAGGGTGATTTGCAATCCTCTCTCCGAAATTTTAGCTACATTTGGCACTGACATTATTAGAAATTTGGGGCCAGAATACAGGAAGTTCCATCTGAGGACATGCAGCCACAGCTAATACAACAAATACCATCTTAGGAACCCATGTATGCAAAATTTTTGGCTACACCCCTGTAGAAAAGGCTTTTAAGAGCAGGTCACTGTCCAGAAATTGTTTATAGTTGTGCTTGAAGGTAAGTATAAAAGGATCTCATGCTTGAGCCATGGACAAGGGACACTTTCTGCATCTGCTTTCTGCGTCTGCTCTCCGCATGTTTGGGCCCAAACCCAAAGTGGTAGATCGTCTTGACCCCCATGAGACTAGATTTGTAATGTGACGACCCTGCCTGGAACATTTCATTCCATTGGTATTATGGGCTGTCATAACATGTGCTTTTCACTCTCCAAGAAAATTGTTGTCACAAGTCTGGAAGATTTGTTCTTGATGGAGCATTTCCTGTTATTGCTATCATGGAGAGAAGTTGTTTTGGAGTCCAAACAGAATACTGCATGTTTGTAAACAATGTTTATGCTATTCATTGTCTCCACCACTTAAATATAAGAACCTGATGCTTCTAGAGCTAAATTACTCTTGACGTGAATTGTCAACTACGTTCCAGTAAGCAACAGTCCATAATAATTATAGTGATACTAGTGAAGCATGAAGGGTGAATTCTGCGTACACTTGTTGATGCATCATAAACTGCACATTTCTTGAAAGAATGATTTATCTTTCCCTTCTTCCCATCATAAAAACTTTTACTTTCGGCTAACACGGCACGATTTTAGTAAACTTATGAATGAAATGAAAAAACAAACAAAACGTTGCTTGCATTTTGACTCCTTCGAACCAGGTCAGTAATTAAGAAGACGCGATCGAAAATATGTTGCAAGTTATCGACACAAAATTCAAACATAAAGGTTGTAATTGTAAAAAAGGCTTTTACTTTCTGCAAAATTAAGCTGTACTCCACAAACTTCACAGAAAGTAGTAAAAAAAATAAACAATACCTCCATTTTTTACCCCCTCCAAAAGCTCTCAATTCTTCTAAAACGCCAACAAAGACCTCACGAGATAAAAGAAGGACAGTGGATTGACTCATACTGACCTCTTTCTTGAATCTTTGCCATTTCCTGTATTTCTTGCGCACTGGGTTTCTCTACAAATTCCCACAAGCTCATGACATTTGCGGTAAGATATTGCGGAAAGGAGAGATTTTAGAGATGCTTATAGGGCCCAGTCCCCACTCTCATGGATCAACCTTAAAAATGAAGGGACTTGGGGACAAATCTAAACAGTTGGGCTCCTGATTAGCTCCTGATAGATTATAAAGATTTAATGGTTTCTTCTTCTTCTTCTTTTTTTTTTTTCCGTGTGTGTCCGCTAACAGGGGATCAGACTTACGTTTTCGCGTTTTTATGCGCGCGAGAAGCTAGAAGTGCGAAGCGAGCCGAGGAGCAACAGACACGCGCGACGGGGGAAGGCGCTCCACGCCCGCCTCGTGCTTGTCTTCGCTCGCCAGAAAACGCGAAAAAATAACGTCTGTTATACAGGCTAAGTTAAAACCCGTCACTGAAACATCTCCATCTGGCCTCCCCTCCCATTTTCTGGGTACAAGGTTGAGAGATCCTCAAGAGTGGTACTAGCTAGGTTGCGTTACCTTGCGCCTTAATGCAATTTTAGTGGATCCTCCATTTGGTAAGTAAACTACGTCAGGACTCGGTAGGAACTAATTAGACTCTAATTAGAAATTGGCTTAGTTTTGAGGATTAGACTGTATTATAGCTTTATCCCAACGAAGGGAGACGGTAGCCAAGTATATCTTAAGCGACCAAATACAACAAGGTATTTCCGAATTTTTCATTTAAAAAAAAACGCAGGAGCCCATCAAATTTGATGGGCTCCTGAAAAACCTCATACCTGGATAGGTGAAACTTCTTCTTTTCCCCGTTTTAATAGGCATTTACCCTTATCAAAAAATGAGAGCTATGAATAGATTATGGAAGAGGGGCCGAGCAGAATGTTCCCGCAACTCCCCCCCCCCCAACCCCCCCCAAGGCCGCGCGTTACTTTGCCTGATAGACCCCCCGGGGGATTCCCTTATGAAAGCGGTGGGGATGATCGTCGTCTCGTTTAGGGGTGTTTAACCGTAATGGCCTCCTTTCTGGTTGCACGTAGAGCTATGAATAGATTATGGAAGAGGGGCCGAGCAGAATGTTCCCGCAACTCCCCCCCCCCAACCCCCTCCAAGGCCGCGCGTTACTTTGCCTGATAGACACCCCGGGGGATTCCCTTATGAAAGCGGTGGGGATGATCGTCGTCTCGTTTAGGGGTGTTTAACCGTAATGGCCTCCTTTCTGGTTGCACGCGAAGAAAAATAAAAAAAAATTATATATATTCAATTAGTTTCATTTACTCGATTTATGTAATCAAAGTTTAAGATGGTCTCTCTTAGGGGTCAAACCAGGTTGGGCCACGCCCGGGCTCCCCTTTCAGATGGGAGCTTCCCCCGGTGATAAACATCACTAGCCAGTCTTCCCTTGACCAATTTCCGCGAGAAAATTGGTTGTCTATCAACAATTAGAAATGGTGATAACCTCTAGATACAAATCTTGGGTTGGTCTTTCCTTTTTGTCACGCTTTATATTTCAAGCGACCGGCGTGGCATCGCGAGATGGAGAAAAGAACCGTCTATTGTCATTCGCCGCATCGAAAATTGCGGAAATGAGCTCTAACCACAAGGCAAATTATTCCATTATCATTACAGTTTCTTTTCAAGGTTAGGTGCTCGGGGTAAAATAGTGAAATTTTCATTTTTTTAATGATTAAATTCCGCGAGTGTTTTGACTATGTATCAGGATATAAGCGTTCTATTCCGTGCACGCGAGAGTGTCGTAAACCACCGCCGAAAGCTGTTGAGTAAATCTGTCAAAACAACCTTTTGAACTGCAAGATTATCCCCTTTGAAAAAGCAAAAACAAAGTCATGAATGACATTCTTCATGCCGTAATTTGTCAAGTTGGTATATATTCATCCGTTACCATCGGCCGCGTGACACTGTACATCTGCGCGCGTCCGGCTGTGAGGCCAAAAAAGGCCTCCTGAAATGTATTTCATCTTTCTCCTTATCACTGGTGCATTTCTACCTGTTGTACTGCCCTGTTCGGTACCTCCTGGCGCCGTATTTTATGGTCCAACACAGCGGACAATTCTTGCGCCCATCGTGTTCCAAGGACGCGTGATCAACACGACCACATCGAACTTCCCCACTGGACAACTCTTTGATGCTTGCGTTGAAATCAGAAAGATCTTTAAATCACCGTTTGAAATTCCAACAGTCGTTTGCTTTGGGCAATTCGGTATAGAAGAGTTGTGTCTAACTTATGTATTTGAAGGCAATGAGTATGTTTTCTTCTTGAACGAAGACTTCACAGCGAGATACGATGGCTTTCCCGAGGCGGCCTACCCCGCAACTCAAGAAATTGTGGCGGCTGTTCAAGCTGGTTATTGCCAGGCGTCTATCGACCCGAACTGCGGTAAGTCAAAAAAAGCTTCGATATCTTGAAATACGTACCTATTTATTTATTTTTATTTTTTTATCACCTCAGTTCACACACAACCGTCACTGTTGTATTATTTTTTCAAAGTCGAATTGAGAAAACATTCTTGTTGAGAAAACATTTTTTATTTGATTTACTTAAGAACTTTCGGATTTTCTAGGCGGCTATGTTTTGATTCTTTTTGGCGCGCGCCGCGTCACATTTTAGTTTCTTTTGGCACCGGAAGTCGGTTCCGACCGACCAGATGTCATGCCACTCACGATTACTAGCGTGATCCAATTATCAAGGTTCTAGTGAAAGGAGATTTTCACGATAAAAGTCCGAGGAGGGGACAGATATCCCTTGTAATAGGGTCCGATGGGGTTAGCTGATTACAGAGAATCGTCTAAAACTCTAGCTTATTATTGAAACTCCCGAAAGAATAGCTGATTTACTAAAAAGTGGCCAAAGGAGCCTTTTACCCCTGCCCTCTGGCCTGTGAAACCCATAACGAATTAGCCTCCCAGGCAGACGTTCTTGGGGATTCGTCACGCGTGGGAGGCTAATAACGAACATTGCTCGGAAACGTGTGACGAGTTCCCAAGTTTTCCAATTATTCTCTTCTTCCTTTCTTCATTCGCTGGCTCTTTTCTTGCCAAGCCTCAACTCGAATGACTTAGTACTCGCGGACTAACTATACTGAGAATTTCACCTAAGCTTGGCACACCATCGACCCAACTCACGCCCTATTGTTATACACTGGTAAAGAGCGATACTCGGAGAAATCACTTGAATTCATTTGAAAAACCACACGGAACAACACGCATTTGTCACCCAAAAAGGGTCTTTATTTCTTCCTTATTTGTTTGTTTCCCTTTAATTTAAATTCCACAGATCCTCCTTTTATATTTTTTCAATTTCCTATGCGGGGAGGGGTTGGGGAGGTTGAGTATATTCTATCGTATTCAGTTTTTTTGTGAGGTCAGTGACCCTTTTATATGCGATCGCTACTCTAGGACTGTATTTTCGTTTTGCTGTGTTCGGACATTTGTTTTTCTTTTTATGGTATTCTTGTCATTTCGGCCTAAAACAAAGTGGAGGAAATTAAAAGCAATGATATACGAGAGTAAGATGCATATCTTCGATCCGCGGATCCCTAACCTTTCCCCTCCCCCAACCCGCGCCCCGTTCCATGTACTTTGCAACACTTAATCAGTAATTATATTCAGGAGCGGTGATAGGCTCTTGTTATATTTCAGTTTTTAACCGCGTTGCCAAAGTCCACAGCGTAAAAGAAAGTATATCATCGGATTTATATAGTCTACTTGGATGATCACAAAGCCGATAAAGCGTAGTAAGCAAATAACTTATGCTCTCCCGGACATTCTGGACACGCCTTGAAACCCAAGAATTTATACATTTATACACGTGTACAAACAAACAGGATTTTATTCTTCGAGTGGGGGGTGGGGAGGGGAGGGAAGGGACACTCAACAAAGTTTTATACGGGGAAGCTCTGCCCCGAGGTCCAACCCCTTACCATGTTATAAGTACATTTTTGACAGAAAGGGTACCCTTTTTCGGGACAAATGATACCCCTTTCACATATCTAGTTTAGAACAGTACATCCCCTCTAACTGCTCTAAATGCACTGTCCTTTAAACATGAATAAATCACTAAGCCAGGACGTTTTTGGGACTTTTCTACAGCCATAAAATTAATCTCTTAGCCATTTTGGGCCCTTTCACAGACCGAAATGACAGACTTCCCTGCCCTTTCATATACTTCAACTCATGAAATCCCTGACTCTTTCATATACCTGATCAACCTGAAAAAGATACCCCTTTCGGGCGGAGCCTCCCCGTATAGGCCATTAGAGGGAGTACCCCCCGGAATTATTCGCACCGTAAAATCCCAACAAGCTGGCGAACAATCAACTCTTTAAAAATATATATTGTGGTTTATCGGAAGGGGCTTTTTAAGCGGGGCAAGTCTAGGTCTCGAAACTGTTTGTAATTATAAGCAGCTTGTCTCGAGTGTTAATTTTACTTCAAAATAAAATAGACAGTGATTCCTTGGTATGTTGATAGGTGAACATATAGACTTTGAATTGCAAACCTGTTTCTTGTTATGTTATCTTGCCCAAAAAAACTGGAGACAAATTTTAGCCATACCCTTATACCGTATTTACCCGTGTATAAGATTAACATTTCAGTTTTTCGTTAAATATTACTGACTTTTTGAAGAGTCGGTTAGAGCTCCATTAATATGGCAACTAAAAGGTCAAAAAGAATTTGTCATGGTGGAGTGGTCATTTTAGTGGGGTGGGGTAATTTTCATTTGGCTGTTTTCTTTTCTTGTTTTCTATTGTAAACTCCTATTATAGACTATTGCTGGATTTGTAAAGGGCATGGTTATTATAAATTAAAGGAAACTGTACTTGTCAAACGAATAAAATCCTGATTTCACAAATACTCTGTCAGGACTTAAGATTTATTTTTCTTTGTAACTTAATGTTGGTTCTTAAAGAAAAAAAAAGATTTACGAGGTTGTATTAATGAGCTGAATTATTAAGGGGTATACATGTTAAAGGGACAGGTTCATGGTTCAGCGCATGCTCATTTATCAAAATGCCGTTTTCC